TGGTTATTTCAACACCTAAAAAGCTTTTTTATGTCAATTTGGCAGGCTATTTATAGCCAATTTCACTGCATGGACCTACCGAGGAGAGGAAAATGGATGAGGATATTTAACAACTCTTTGTATCTCTTCTTCCTGGCTGTGTGGTGCACCTCAGAGTCTCTCCTCTCAGCATCAGAGACGGATTGATAAATAACGCTACTCAAGCAAAAGATTTGCCCCCCACTAACATTCAGCATGTCTGAACAATGCATGCATTCTGGCACTGACACTAAGTATTATGGTAATGTAGTGCTCAGCGAAATGATGGATGTTAAACAGCACGACCTGGCTGCACTACACACTGGCGATCACCATGCCCGCAAATAGTGTCAAGTCATCCCACGCACTGTATACAGCTCCCTGACGACACACAAACTATCAAATCGGCATTAAAGGCAACAGTCTCTAGCAGCTATAAGGCTGGATATAATTATCTGTTAAGAGATGAAAAAAAATGTTCTCTGAACAGACTAACCATTCGGTTACACTCCTCTACCCAACTGTACAGGAAATCACAAAACAGAAAATTACCAGGATATTTAAGTCCCTGGAGATGCCCTAAACGCTCAAAGTAAGAAAGCACATAACATCTGTTCAAATTGTTGCAGTGCAATCCACATGAATTAGTCATGAGCTAATCTGACATATTTTGATCAGTTCTTAAATCCATAATTATGGTGCAATTTTTTTGTCATAGGCCTCGAGCTGTGAAAAAAGGCAGTGCTGCAAATCATCCATTAGGCATGTTTTACTGATTGACGCCAACAGTTATATGCATCATATATCTGTAACAAGTCAAATCTTTCTCACCCACGAATTAGACATGAAGAGGAATTTCAAACTAAAAGTCAAATTAAATGTATTGCATATTGCAAAAATAATAATAATGTTTTCAGGTATCATGGAGGCAGAGTTTTTATAACATCCTCTGGTTCTCTGATACCGTGCTGTGAAAAATGTTTATGTTGTGGGGAAAAAAGAAAGTTGATTGAATTTCTGATGATGTTACAATATTGAGAGCCTTCCGGGCCTCTGACATAAAAGACTGCCAATATACATTGGCATGTTGTGCATTGTTGTGAACGAAGCCTGTAAGCTGCTTTATAAACCCCTGTGTAATATGCACGCAGCTGCCTTATTAGGCACAAGTAGGTGTTGCTTCAGCTTTATAATACTTCTTGCACTTTAAGTTTGTTGTTGTTAAACTGTATTTAATTCAATAAAAAAGGTGTTTGTTTGTTTTGTTTTAATTTAGCTTAGCTGCACAGATTGAAACAGGGTCAAAATAATATCAACATGTCTCCACATTAAATAAATAAAGGAATTGTTGAATTATTAAATTAAATGCAATGCCCCAACTGCAGTCTTCAAAATGAACACAAAAAAATTGAATATTGAAACTATGCAGATAAAACTGTTGCATGAGTATTGTATTATGTCACATTAGCCTAAGCTCGATGTTCTCTAAAGTGGTAACTGAGTGCATATACTGTGCACTAAAGATTACAGCAAAATATTATATTGTATAGAGCCAAGTAAACGACTCAAGCTACAGCGTTGACAATGGTTACACAGCAACAACACTTATCTATATTGATTAATACCATTTATATAAGCAGACAATCAACAGGCATAAATAAAACTATCTATTGTGGACAGTAGTAGATAAAGATTACCTCAGGGATTTCTACTGGACAGCAGTGAGTCTGGGATTCATGTGAGTCTAACATCTACCAATTATTTCTCAAATGACATCCCAGATGAGTCCATACTTGTAAAACTTACATACTAGACGTATTTTGGCCAGTCAGTGTTTTGGACAAATACGTTATATTACAGAATTTGCACTGCTAGACCACCAAACTGCATTGCACTGTTTAGAGACCTTCATTATTAAACCTGCATTTATTTATTTAGTTACTTATTTATCCGACACTGTCAGCAGTGAAAAACAAACCTGCAGGATAAGACATATTATTTGACTTTAAGTTGATTTGAGACTCTTGGTATCACTTGATAACAGTTTTGTTGGTTTGTTTGTTTTGTTTTGTTCATAGATCTATCCAGCAGACTAAGAGCGTTAGCTTTCATTTGATCTTATTTTTCTCTGAGCCTGATAAATGGGAACTTATTTGCGTTGCATTTTCAAAATGATTCTACTTTAAAAAAAAAAACTTAAAAAAACAAACAAACTGCCCACTTCAGTCAAAATCAACATGAGGACAACAGCAACAGTGAAGCAAAACAGTAAATTTGAAACCGCCCCAAAAATAAAAGAGTCAATCCTAAAATCTTTTACAGGGATCCACAGAGCTGTAGAATAAGGTGATTATTTTTTGTGCATGTATTACTCCTTGCATGACTCCTAACTTGTTTTAAATGTTTTAAATACAGAAAAGATCAACTAGACATACTGTACAACAGTACATATAAAATATATAATAACAATGTGATGGTGTTTGGATCAATCGCATGTCACCTTTTATTTTGGCAGGTAAAAAATGGAATAATTGCAGTAAAACTGTTTTTCTTTCTTTCTATAATTTTAATTTCAAATTCTTTTTTTGTTGTTGTTGTTGTTTTGTTTGTTTTTTTTAACCTATTTTTTTATTTGATACATAACAATTAATTTATAATTCAATTCATTTAAAACATGGAACTTAATTAATGACAGACTTAAGTTAAACATGTCTTGTTCACTGTGTTGTTTATAGGACACTTTGTCTTGGAAAACCTGTAGCCCTTCTTTCAAAGTTAAGTAATTCATTTTACCTTCGGTTCCCCTACAAAAGCTTCCAGTGTCAGAATGATCAGTCTGTTTGTAGTTTACTCTTTTCTCCTTGAGTGACACAGCTGATTTTACACTATATCTACTTTGTTTTGTTAATGTCACTAATCCCATTTTCTCACTCTTGTACTTTCTTGCTTCAGTCTAGAGATGTCACACATTGGCACAGCAGGGCACATGAGCATGGTTTAGATGAGTGGCCAATAAGAAAAACTCATCCATATAATGCATTGGTAAAATCTTATTAAAAGTGCACGCCTGTGCTCCCAAAGTGACTTTGAATGTCACGCGGGATGAAGTGGGCATAATGCGAACATCAGAGTGGCCTTGGTGGAGGATGATTTGAACAGGCATACAGCTTTGGAACAGGATTATCCTTCCCGAGGCAACTATCCTCCAGAGTGTTGACATTCAGGGATGGTTAAGGACAGGCGTAAACAACACGGATATCAGAAATATTGTTTTAATCGATCATCAGGCTCCAAAGAGGAAAACCAGAAAGACAAGAAGCAGGTTGAACACCAGCAGCTGATGGCTGGAGAAACAGGTGGTGCATGGAGATCCTCAGGGCTGCACACACAAGAAAGTAATGGTGAGCCTTCGCTCATTTCTCCCACTAGAGCGCCTGACCAGTCTAATCAATAAGATCATGAACTACTGCCACTGAATTACATATCATACATAATTTTCCCACCTGGTGAATTATTTTTTGAGAGTGAATTGCATGTGAATTCAGCACCAGTGGTGAATATGTGAATGTGTGTTATTTGCCTGTGTGCTGTCTCAGTGCAAGTGTCTGTCTGTGTGCACACATGCATGTGTGTGTGTGTGTGTGTATGAGAAAGAGAGCAAAAGAGATAATTAAAGCATAATCCAAAACTATATGTATGTATATAAATTGTTTCTCAATACAGTGCTCTTTAACTTAAACTGATTTCTGGTTATATTTATATAAGTAATAATAATCCTACCAAATAAACTTAATAAGTACGTAATATGAATAATAATAACAATAATAGTAATAGTAGTAGCAGTAGTGCAAGTAGTCTCACAATAAAGATAAAAAGTTATACATTTTTATTGTAGCTTCTTAAATAGATTACTAACTGAGAAAATAATGTATAATAAAAGACTTTAAATATATGATAATGATCAAAATTTTAATTTTAATAAAATGTTTTGAAATTGTTGCAATCACATCAAGTTAATGACAAAATTTTATAGCAACAGTACAGGAAGGAATAAGTTGAACAAGACTTAAACTTTGAATTGTGGACTTAAAAAAGAAGAAAAAATAATTTAAGCTTGTCTAGAAATACAAAGCCGAATTGCACACTGGCATTCATTACTATCACTGTAATTAGAACCGATCGATCCGTGATTATCCGTTACGTGTCTGACTAATTACTAAGTGTACACAGATCCCGCTCCTTTTGGACAATAAGGGTTCGGGGGTGAAAAGAGCAAGCGAGAATGCAATGTGTGCTGGAGCCGAGCCTCTACTATCATCCTGCTTTGTACTTCCTGACTGCAACCCGCCCACGGAGCCCCGTTACAATACAGCTGCCATGTAAGTAGTATTTTCCACAGCTAATGACGTCCGAAAAGTAGAAAACATATCAGCCCGCTGAAAGGTCAAAGCAGCTTGTCAGCACCACGTTAATCGCCGATTTTGATTGTCTGATAATGGCTTACATTTTCAGCTCCCCGGAAAGTATTTACTTCTCGCTGATAATATACAGCAAATGTGATGGATTTTTTAAAATGGAATTTATGCGCCTGCACAGCTGCCTGTCCCGTGTCCCGCCCCCTTAACTGGCCTTAACGGGGATGCTGAGCACATGATAGTAAATGTAAACACACAAAGGCATTTTCAGCTGTAGTATTCACGTGGATTGTCTGGTGGCGGTAACAATTAACCCTGCACTTCCAAGCCGTTCACTTCCACGTGTTCCCCCTCTCACGCCTCAGACGTAGTTGTGTGTGTGCCTCTGCGTGTGCGTGTGTGCGTTCGAAGCCACTACGGGGCTCCCACACTGTCCCAAACATCTGCAAATTAGCACACTTTTCATGCCCTCTGCCCCAGAACTGAGCCGGGACGTTCTTTGTCACTACTTTGCGTAAACCTTTTCTCAATCCCTAAAGCACCATAAAAGTAGTCAAAACAACCAACCTTTATGCATTCCCGTAAACCTGTCTTTCAGAACAGTGAGTTCGTATATCTTTCCGAATTCCTCAAACAGGGGTTTCAGGTCTTTTTCCTCCAGGTTTCTGGGAATCTGCCCGATGAAAAGCTTGATGGCGTCGTGGTCCTTCATTGGAATGGTGTTCTGGCCGATGGTAAGCCCGTTCATCCTGCCGGCGCTGTTCGTGGTGCTGAATCCATTCTCTTGCTGCACTCCGTTTGCAGTGACTGTAGCCATCTTTCCTCAATGGGCCGGCGGGCTGCTCTCTCTCTCTCTCTCTCTCTCTCTCTCTCTCGCCTCTGTGTAGTCAACTGCACATTGCACACTCCCCCCCTCCGTTATATCTTCCTGTCTCCCCACTCCTCCTCCGGTTCTCCCTCCCTACCCTCTCCTGTCCTTCCTTTACAGGCTAAGCCGCTTTGTTTGGAATCAGTGTTATTTATTTATTTATTTTTCTTATTCTTTATGAGTTTTTATTTTTTCCGCCCCCCCCCCTCCCCACACACACACTCACACTCCATCACCACCGCCACCCCCAAGCTGCCACTCTGTCCCGTGACGTCAGCTCGTACTCTTACGAATACACCACGCCCACCATCTGATTTGCATAATGAGTTCGACCAAGGCGAATGGGAGAGCAGGTTGACTAAGGACCCCACAGGGCAGAGTAAGAACTCAAACATTTGGGTAGAGTGTAAAGGTTGGGACATTTAAATGATGCAAATTCAACATTAGTGCTTCTTCCCCAGCTTATCTGCGGTGGTTTAAGTTTGTCTCGGAGAGCAAAATTTGATGCTCCTTTTGGCGGAAAAATATTGACCTGATTTTAAACTAGTTTGAGTTCATCTCTAGTTCGTAATTTATTAATAATAGAAATTAATCAAAATCTAAATTGCTTTTAATGACTTAAATGTTAAGAGAACCAACCCTGCATTTTTGTGTTTTGTATAAAAGAAGATTCACGATAGTTACGCGGTGTTACTAAAAATGCTGTCCTCATAACCCTTCTTTGGTGTGGTGAACGTATTTGCCCATGTTATATATCCCCTGAGGTAAATAATGTGATTTATCTGGTATACTGGGGTAAAAAAAGTCTATGAGATGTATAGAAAGAAAAGCAGGAGAGTTGTATGTCTTAACACCAGTATTGAAAAACACTCTTATGAACCCTTGTAGAAATGATCTTTACACCAGCAGTTCTCAGGAGACAGGTCCCTGTTGATTTTCATTGTAACCATCTAACAAGGACTATTGTAGGGGAGAGCGGGGTAAGTTGTCACACGGGTAAGTTGTCACACTGTTCATAACTCCAACACTAGAGGCTCTATCTCAAAAATGAAATAGCCACTTTGTGTGACTTCTTCTTCTATAGTCAACCTCCTGTTCACATGTGGTCAAGACTGCTCTAATCTGAGGTGAGCACATCTTTTTTATTTTTTTGACCTAAAAGGAAAAATAAATCACTTTAAATTTTCTTCAGTACAACTTTGTTAGGTATAGATGTTACAGATTATTATTTTACACAAAATAGAGGAGACATTAACGTGTCTTTTGATACTTCAGCTGATGTGCTATGTTGAGCTAACCCTGACATTTAGCCAAAATTAGCATAAATGTCAGTTTGGGGCAAGTTGTCTCATTAACTTTGGGGCAAGTCGTCACATGTGACAACTTGCCCCAGTACAAATAAATGCTCCAAAAAATTGTGATATTGTAATTCATTTGTATTTGTAATAAGGTTTTTGAAGAAAGGAAGGAGAGGCAGGAATTAAGGAAGGAAGGAAGAAAGTAAGATGGTTCGAAATTATCAACGAAAGACAGAGCGTGGCAGAACACCACCTGACATTATGTTAAAGGCAGTCAGGCAGGTAAAGATGCAGAACAAATCAATCACAAGTACAGCAAAGGATTTTGACATAAATTACCGCACTGCAATTACTGACAGCGGACTACCAACTCCAGAGGACATCCAGCCATATCCAAAAGCTGGCCGCCGAAAACCATCCAGCAAAGGAAGAAAACGACGCAAATCAGCAATTCTAACCGACACGCCAGTGAAGCAGCAACTAGAAAAAGAAAAGAATAAGGCTGAATCTAGCAAAAAGCTGTTTCAAAAGAGAGGGACGCGAGGGGGGAAAACATCTGGACCTATGAAGAACAACGCAGCTAAAAGAAGAAAAATAATTCAAGAGTCATCATCAGATGATGAAAAGTGCTTCTGCCTTGTCTGTGTGGAGCCATTTTCAAACAGTCGTCCAAAAGAGACCTGGGTAAAATGCGTAAAATGCAACAAATGGGCCCATGATGCCTGCACCTCAGGCCAGGCAATTTATGTGTGCCAGAATTGTGACTATGAAGTTGAGTCTGATTAATCAGAAATAAGGCATCTGTTTTGTTCAGAGTATAAACATGTTATTTGCAGCATTCCATTCAGTTATGATGGATTTATGTGCAAGCCAGAGAACATTTGAGTTTAAAGTTCAAACTAAAGTTTTCTTTCTACTTAATGTTTTGATTAAAATGTGTATTGGATTGAAATAATTGTTTTTTTCCAAATTCTCTTGGCATAATTGTTCAAATTTCCAGTTTTGGTTTGAATTTAACAATTAAAATCAATAATCATAATTAAGTATTTGTGTTCATATTTTAAGATAATCTAGTGTGACAACTTACCTGCCGATGGGGCAAATTGTCACAAGTGCACATTCTCCTTTCAACAGTCTACAACTCCGTAATGAGATAAGATATGAAAATGTAATCAATACATCATATGTGCCCGAGACTTCCGTCTTTCATTTGGTGAAACATTTATTACGTTGTGATGTATGGTGCTCAGTAAAAGTTAGTCAGTGTGAAGAGTGTGACAACTTACCCCGCTCTCCCCTACGCCTGGGACACCCGGTGAATTCTACTGGTGAAGCAGAAAAACAACACGGGTGGGATACATAAAAGCTCATATCTATGCTTTGGTCTACTAGTCTACTGTTCAATATGTATTGGTAGAGTTCTTTAAATAGAAGTACCAATGACTGCACGTTTTAATACGCAATACAGTCATACGTCTACAATCATGCAGAAATCTGAAAAACTTAGTGCAAGGTCATTTAACTTAGAATGACCCTGGAGGCTTTGAGATTTTACCCAGATGAAGAATTACATTTAGTATAGTGTTTGTGGACACTTCAGTATTTTTTTTCTAAGACAAATTCTTTCAAGATTTCACCCTCTTAATTAAAAAAAAGGACCTATAAAATATTGAAAATTTAGATTACTAAATTGGCATCGCAAGTTATGCTCCAAGTCTTCATATGCGTTTTGACATTTTGGCTTGTTTGTTTGTTTGTTTTTTAAAACTGTTTTCTTCAAAATAGCAGTAGATACTCTGCAAGCTCACTAGATAATTTCAGATTCTTGGCATATTTATCTTTGATTTGAAACTATAGCTGATTTAATAAAAAGGTGATTCTGAAAGAAACTAGTAGCTTTCCAGGTGTTAGAATCATCTGCAATGTCTGAGTGAATAACTAAAAAGTTTGCCACAACCTTCGTGGTACAAGAGTTTTAATAAAATAAAACATATTTTTCTTTCTCACTGAGATAAAGGCAAGGAGGTAGCGAGAAAAAAGGTGAAGAGAATAAAATAGTGTTTGAAATAATGTTAGCTGAAACCTCTGGATTTAAAGCCACTGTCTGTCACTGTCCATGGTGCTGAGCCAGTGCTGCCATTCATAGACCGTGAAATAGATTGGAGCTACAGTTTTAATAGTACGTTTGCACTACAAATTCTCCATACATTCTATCTAAGTCCTATGAACCTTTACGAACCTTTCAGGCCTTTTCACGATGCAGAGAATGATGCATTCAGCACCACTATCCATACAAGAGCCTTCCTCTTCATGCAAATAAGCATGTGCATGAGCAGTGTTTCATAACTTGCCATGTATTTTGTACAGTGAAACCTATAATTGATGCACATGTGAATATGAAATTCATGCAAGGCCAGTCAAGACCATATTGATATAGATAATTATGCTTAATTATGCAAACTGGCATTTATGTAGATCCTGCCATGCATCAATCGTTGACTGTATCTGATAAGTTCAAGAGGTGAAGTTCTATACCTGACCCTGGCCTCTGTTCCTCTTGTTATATTCTGGGAAAAAAAAAACAGTCATTTGGGACCAATATAAAATCCCTGAAAACTGCATGTTTACTGAAGTGTATTCACCAGACATGCTTAACCTCTGTAAGGTCAGAATTAATTGGGTACTAAAAAATATGTCGTTAAATAATAAAGATTTCTTTGTACTGCTGCTTCTGCTAATTAGTACAATAATGGATCTTCACAAAATTTAACATTTTCATTGCTCTATCTATCTATCTATCTATCTATCTATCTATCTATCTATCTATCTATCTATCTATCTATCTATCTATCTATCTATCTATCCATCCATCCATCCATCTATCTATCTATCTATCTATCTATCTATCTATCTATCTATCTATCTATCCATCTATCCATCCATCCATCTATCTATCTATCTATCTATCTATCTATCTATCTATCTATCTATCTATCTATCTATCTATCCATCTATCCATCCATCCATCCATCTATCTATCTATCTATCTATCTATCTATCTATCTATCTATCTATCTATCTATCTATCTATCTATCCATCTATCCATCTATCTATCTATCTATCTATCGCTATCTTTACATAGATTTTTAGCCCAAGGCTATAATCTGGCATATTTACATTTGTTAAAATGTTCATTAATATGTATTTCCCCTCTTTCTAAAAATAAATAAATAAATAAATAAATAAAAATGAAAAACAATATTGTAGAGAAAATCAAGAAAAATCTCTCATGACAAGAAAACGAACTGACCAGTTACTTTCTCTCTGATACTGACGCAAATTTGACATTTAAATGCCTTTTCAGTGAGTTGCTTAGTGTTTGTGGTACTAGAGGAACAGTGTTATCTATCAAAAATAGAAAACAAGGTGGTCACCCCTGTAAATAAGTCATATTACAGCGTGATAAGAGCATATATTTGCAGGGGGTCATCCCAGTGGGAAGTGCCACAACGTAGCCAGTGAACTTTTTTGGTCACTAGGTGGTAGAAAAGTCAGCTTTGATGGATTATGTGCTGTTTGCTTTGTGTGTGTGTGTGTTTGTTCAGCCCTGATGTCTGTCAGAGTGAGTGGTCTTTAGGGATAGTGGTATTCCGAGAGCAACACTAACATCTGGTAC